GAGTAACACACATCACTGTGTAACATTGTGTGCATGTGCCCATTTGAAAAAAACCTTTAGAAATTACGTCTTATTTGATTTTTCAAGTTTTAGATTTTATTGTTTATTTTGTAATTAATTTAATACCTGAAGGTCTATGTAGGGAATAATGGAGATTTTTTGATATTAGCTATGAATTATTTGTAGCTTCCTTTACTTTTTAAAGTGGTATAATTTTAAGGTAGCAGGATAAGTACTTTCATCCTGGTGTATAAAATATGTTTGTGAATTTTCTTCTAGAAGTGGGGTATATCACATTAACATTCAATGAAAATCAAAATCATGACACATTAAGCAGGTATATGAATCCCTTTTGCTATTTTATAGGTACAGAAATTGCTGACACACTTGAAAGCTTACATGCATGAAGCTTTTGAATTGTAGCACTAAACCTCACATTCATTATTGACTGATGGCTTGAAAAAAAAATGACTGTACATAGAAAGACCAACTCCCATTTAAAAGAATTATGTTAGTGTTATGTTGTAATTGATAATATTTATTTTGAGGTCTTAATTATACAGATTTTTGTTGTCTCTTTTCTTCTTTTGTTTTTTCCATTTCCTTAATTCTTTTTTCTTACCTCTTTTTCCTCCTCCTCCTCCTCCCTCCGTCCTCCTCCTCGTGCTCCTTCTCTTTCCCTCTCTTCTTCTCCTCCACCTTCATGTCCCTATTGTAATTTCACGGAGGGTACTGAGAAGGGAGATATGTTGCATTCATTAATGGATTGCTTTGAGGTGAGATCAGTTGGGATAATTCTCATTATGAAACATATGACCTGTAATTTCAGCTGTTTCAGACAGTTTTATTTTAGGCAATTTCTTGTTTTTCCATTTAGGTTAGAAATCTGCCTGTTTTTATACTATGTAGTGTGATCTTGGAGAGAAACTGAGTTGAACATTTTGATATTATACTTATTTGTTTTTTCCTGATATTTACTTCATTAATGTAATCATTTTTCTAAAGCATATTAAAATAGAAAACATGTTCTTTTGATCAATTTATACAAAGAAAATAATAATACAGTAATAAAATTACTGAAAATATATGAAAATCACCAGAACGTTAGAGAAATTACATTGGCAACAATTCTAGGAATTTGTTTTATACAATAAAGCCAAAATTAGTGGCAAGATGTAAAAACAGTAATGGTATTATGAAATTTGAGGCCAGGTTTACCAGCAGTTGCATTTTTAAGTTACTTTCAGATCGAGCTAATGATACTTCATTAATGTTTTAAGGATAATCTATTCCTATTCCCAAGTGAAAACAAAAATTTAAATCTAAATGTTGGTCCTTGGTGGGAAAGGGGTGGGGGGAGGTGGGGTTAAGGAGAAAACTGGTAAAGGGCCACAAAAAATGTTTACATTGTGTAATGATACAAAAAAATACGTAAGAATGGATTTTTAGGGCAGCAAACAAAAAAGAAGGTTGGTTTTTAAAAATTTGGTGATGAACAGATAATGACAAGATTGCAAATAAAATGATTGATTAAAGTACCAAAAGTAATAATCATGCAAATGTGATTAAGTAAAACCAAATGAAGATAGAATAAAATCAAACGTAAATATATGTGATTAATCAAGTACTAAAGTTTAGATGTTTTTGATATTATAGTCAATTTTTAGTAATTCTGCTTAGTCACATTTAATAGACATATAAATGTTAACAAGATATGTTATTAAATTCAACTAACCAGACATCAATCAAGGATATTTTAGTGAGTCAACA